AGGGCCCCTCCGATGTTCGGAGTCTTGCCGAGCATCTGAGGTGGTTATGCACGTGCGCACGGGTGTTCCTTGTTATTGTCTCGTGATTAGGCATGTGCACCCGGGTGTCTTTTGGATTATGTACTTGAGTAAAAAGATGCGTAGCGCTTCTTGGGACGCTCTGAGAAGCCACTAGGGCCGTTGCTCCTATCTCTGAATAAAGCCTATTAATTTTTCACCCACGGCTCCCAGGACCTTTTCCTATTACCTAGCTCGTAGACCTGCGTGTGGAGGGTTTGTGACCCAGTCTGTACAACTGGCTCGAGGGGTCTGTGAGCCCAAGCCCTAGCTTTAAACCAGGTTTGTCCAGTCTGTTGAGTCTATGCACGGAGCCACCTTTGTGCCCTGTACTTACGTTTTGATGTTAGGAGTCAAATTTCACCTCGTTTATGGGCCGGCCCGGTGGCGCACTGCCACAGTGCACCGCTTGGGAGAGAGGCGGCGCTCCGGCCGAGGGTTCAGATCCCACATGCAGACCGGTTCCCACTCGCTGGCTGAGCGAGGTGCGGACGCGTTGCGATCCCGTTGCCGGTCCCGGCCCGGTATGGGCGCGACACTGAGGGTTGCGATCCGTTGCTGGACACGAAAAAAGACAAAAAAAAGGAAAAAAAAAACAAAACAAAACAAATTTCACCTCGTTTTAATACTAAATCTTCACCCCAAAGTGATCAGATGTATGTTATATGTATGTTTACTCACTGTGCATACACATGACTTCCCTAATAAATATTCATTGAATTCTTCTGAACCTGCTGAATATGTATATAAAACTGACCCTGCAAAGCATAAAAACAGGTTCTCGACCTCCATCCCTTGGAGCACGAACTTTCGTGTTTTCCCCAGAGGTCATGTTTCCCCAATCTGCAGATTGTTTCTCTCCTGGAAAAGTAAAGTCTCCCTTCTTCTCTCTTTAGTGGATCTCATGGTCCTTTTTGTCAACATTGTGTAAACATGTACTTCCCAAAATAATGTCTGTCTTCCTCATTTAGGTTATGGGGGTGTGTAACAAAAAGACTTCATGTGAATAACTCTTATGCAGCTGTTAGAACTATTGTAGTCTGATAAGGGTGTCTTGAAACTAAGATCATACTTCCTGTGGGTATGAAATTGACCATCTCCTGAAAGGATGGGTATTCAGTGTCAATCGTGTAATTAAACCATGCTTGGCCCCATTCACCCAATGCACAGCTAATTCCAAAACACTGACGCTGCGCCGAGCCCGTGGCGAACTCGGGAGAGTGCCGCGCTGGGAGCGCAGCAGTGCTCCCGCCGCGGGTTCGGATCCTATATGGGTATGGCTGGTGCGCTCACTGGCTGGGCACAGTGCGGCCGATCTCAAAAAGGACAAAAAAAAAAAAAAAAAAAAAAAAAAAAAAAAAAAAAAAACACTGACGCTTGTTGCAGTGAGGGAAATTAAGCTTCAATTACAAGGCTGCAAAATGGAGATCAGGTGGCTAATGCACAGAAAGTTTACAAGCAGAGATTTTTAAAGGAAAGTGTTGGGGGTTGAGGAAGAGGCTGCTTGAGTAGGCCAGTGGATGGTTCTAATTGGCTGAGTCTCCGAGGACAAGGAAGCAGGATCTCCAAGGACAAAGAAGCAACTTTGGGTTTCTCCTGTCACTGACTCATCCAGCTCTTATCAATCTATTACTTGTGACAGTTTACCTCCAATCGGCACATCCCAAGGGCTGGGAAAGTTCTGGATTTTGTCCCTATAAAGACATCTCAAGGATAAGTGTCAAGACAGTGTATCTCTTATCCCAGGAATTTAGTGACTCTGATTTATGACTCTCCTTATCACTTAGGTAACATCCTGTTCTGCCCAGCTGCCTCCTTTTACTCCTTTTCTCAATTGCTATTTGTAAATCTTAACTCCGTAATTGGAGAGTCCTGTTCCCAAAGCCTAAATCATTATCGGCTTGAGGGACCAAGGCCACAGCTTGCTTTCATAAAACTTTCAGGGGAACTTCATCTGAATGGGCTATCCGCTCAGTTGCGACCATTTGGGGAAAAGACTGATCTTTACATGGCAATAAGAAATCAAAGCCTAAAAGATAATTTGACTCCTGCAGAAGAGGAAACATTTCTTCAATCTAGGCTCTGAAGACAGTGGATACATTTATCAGTTGGTTTCTTTCAGTTGCAAGTAACAGAAAAAAACAATCTCCAACTGGCTTAAATAATTAAGATTCTATGGCTCATGGAACTTGAAGATCAGAGAGGTATGGTGGGTGTTATGATCTGAATGTTGATGTCTCCCTAAAATTCATATGTTGAAATCCTAACCCCCAAGGTGACGATGTTAGGAGGGCCTTTGGGAGGTGAGGAGGTCATGAGGATGGTGCCCTCATGAATGGGATTAGTGCTCGTATAAAAGAGGCCCCAGAGAGACCCTTGTCCCTTCCACCATGTGATGTTTCAGTAAAAAGATGGCAATTACGTACCATCCAGCTACAAAAAATAAAAATAAAAAAATAAATGGCCATCTATGAACCAGGAAGTGGGCCCTCACTAGACACTGAATCTGCTAACACCTTGATTTGAGTTCTCAGCTTCCAGAACTGTGAGAAATAAATTTCTGTTGTTTATAAGCTACTCAGTTTATGATATTTTGTTACAGCAGCCCAAAGGGACTAAGACAGGGGGCTTCAAGAAAGCATGCCCCATAGGACCATTAATGTCATTTCACCTTTTATATCCATTGTGTTGGCCACAGAACTGTTTCTTCCAATCACTGGCTCGCCTTCTGGTCGCCAGAAGTTGTTGGATTCCTGAATGAATCCAGCAAAGAGCTTTCTCCTGATTGGACTATCCATGAACTAATCCCTATACCCAGTGAAATGCCAAGCAGTCATTGGTTTAGGCCTGGTTACCTGAACCAATCACTGGAACAAAGGATTGCTCTTAACTCTATAAGGCCCAATGTCGATTCCCTTCTTATAATAATCTTATAGTGATCGTTAATTATCTTGAAATGGAATTCCTGGAAAATGTGACCTACCCATGTGTATAATTTGTAAAATATCAGTAGAGTGCCCTAACCATATAATAAGAGAAATGAAAAGATAATTTACAATTTTAACAAAGCTGTAATATGTAAATGATCAGACAGGATCACACTAAAGGACATAATGAAGTATTCAGATGCTTGCACCTACTTAAATTGAATGTTTCCTTTTTTTTAATCTTTAAATGAATATATTTTATAATGCCATCATTAGAGAGAGAATGTAAAAAGCAGCCAAACACCAAATACTTTCACCATCAACCGTAATGGAGTTAGGCCTGGGAGCCCTGAGAAATGAAGCCTGGGGCCTCAAACCAAAAGAGCTGGGCTTCCAATTAATTCAGGTGAAGAGACCTCACAGTTCAACTCAAGTCAATGTTGCTGGAAGAAACAGGTCCCTAAACCTTCTTGGAGGTCTCACTACTAAGATAGAGAAAAGAAGAAAATAAACACCCAGAACCCATTAATCCACATCCATAGGCTCCACCTCTCCCCCTAGCAGAGGGTACACACCAACCCCTGCCTGCGCCCATCTCACTCACACCCTGAACCCTGGGACTGGGCCTGCACCCATGGGTCTAGAGGCGGCCTGACAATCCTAAATTGAATAAGTTTGGATTTAAGGGAAGTAAGAAATCTGAAGGTATTTTGATCAAGAAATGCAGGAAAAATGAGAGTGCTGAGATACAGATGGAAACCTAGTTTTAGGATAGTAATGACATGACCTATTTGCATATGACAGAAGAAGGGAAATATAGCTTCAATTGAGATGAAGATACATGTGGATAAAATGGGGAGTGTGATACTCTCACGATTTAGTCAGGTCTTTTTATAAGTATTGTGTTAAAATAATCATCTATGGGGCCGGCCCGGTGGCGCACTGGAGAGTGCGCTGCTTGGGAGTGCGGCAGTGCTCCCGCCGAGGGTTCGGATCCCATGTGGAGACCAGTTCCCGCTCACTGGCTGAGCGCAGTGCGGGCGCAACACCGAGGGTTGCGATCCCGTTGCCGGTCCCCGGTACAGGCGCGACACCGAGGGTTGCGATCCCATTACCGGTCAGTAAAAAAGAAAAAACAAAAAAACCAAAAAAAACCATTCTGGTTCATAAGATTGATTGATACTTTCAAGTCCACTCGGCATGATATTTTTGATAATCAAGAAAACTAGAATTTTCTACCATCTTTCCCTAAATGGTGTTTAAGATTCAGACATTCATGAAGGCAATTTCATTGTCAATTGTCCTTTTCTTGATTGCTGTGTGGTTTATTGTGGCACTGGTAACAACAGTGGTATTTGAGAGAATTATGAAATGTGTTTTGTTATTTCTCTTTTTTTATCTGCTTCTCTAGTTTGATCCTTTATCCACTGCCCATTAACTTGCAAGAAGTTTATGAATAATGTCTCGGTGTGCCACTTGCCAAACTTTGGTCAACAACAGTTTTTCCAAATTTGACTTGATCATAAGGATTCACTAGAAGCCATTAAAAAAAAAAATCCAAATTATAGGCTTTCTGTCTGAATCACCAAGGGTCATGATACAGAAAAAGATGACAATGAAATATCACAAGTACTCTGTGTCAGGCATACATTCAGACACCAGTGTTTAAAAGGCTGATATGGAGACAAATTCTTCAATGGGTAGCAGGGAATAGAGGATGAGTCAGAAAAAGACATAATAATACAAGAAGCCATAAGAAGTTATGTGGAAGGCATCTGGGGACAATATAGGTAAGATGGAACCATAAGAAGTGACTCCAAAATTAATAAATCATTTCAAAATGTAATTTTTATAATACAGTTTGACTATCACTATACTACAAAGGTAACATATATGAAATATTTTTAAAATAATGCATATTGATGAAATTAATGAGATCACTGAGTTTCATGTATTTCCACCGTATTTGTTATCTACTGACATATAGCAAATTATCCCCAAACTTAGCAACTTAAAACATCAAGCATTCATTTATTATCTCACACAGTTTCAAAGGGTTGGGTGTCTGGGAGCAGCTTAAGTGGGCTGTTCTGGTACAGGGTCTCTCATGAGCTTGTAGTCAAGTTGTCAGCCAGGGCTATAGTCATCTGAAGGCTTGACTGGGGCTGGAGGTTCTTCTTCCAATAAAGCTCATTCACATGGCCATTGGCTAGAGGCCTCAGTATTTTGCCACATGGGCCTCTCCAGGGTTGCCTCAAGACATGGCAACTGGCTTTGTCCACACTGAAAGATCTGAGAGAGAGTGAAAGAGAAGGAAACTTCTCACCTCAAAAATGACATGCCATCCCTTCTGCTGTATCCTACTAGTCACACAGACAAACCCCAATACAACGCAAGAGGGCACTACCCCACATGAATACCAGAAGGTGAGGATCATTGGGGATTATCTAGGACACTGGCTACCACACGTGCTAATTTAGTAATATTTGGTTATAAAATTAAAGGGATTTCCAATCTCCTCTGGTACACATTTTCATTGAACACTACAAATGAAAACTGCAATAGATGTGTAGTACTGGTACTCAAATACAATAAGCTGTAGTGCCATCAGTAATGTTTTTCTGAGATGGGGTACAGCTCTTGATAAAATTCCAAAAAAAAAATTAAGTACAATTTTCTCACAAATTTTCACAGTAGTTGTATTTGTGAAAATATTACTTTATTTAAAATCATGCAAATAATATGTTGTGTTTATATGTGAAATATGATTCTATTCTAGGCTTGGATGATTGCAAGTAGGTTTTTTACCCTCTTGAATCTTTGGTGGGGCATGTGAAAGTTGGACAGAACATGGAACAGTTCCTCCTTATGGTTGACTACCTTGCACATTTTGAAACACCCAGCATCCCTGGCCCCACCGCCTAAATGCCTGTGGTCAGGAAATAGTTAACAACTAGGATGGCATGGACTTACCAACCAATCAGAATGAGTGCCAGCCAGCACAACATACTGGTACAAATCAGCTAAATAGCAGGTCTGTGTCTTGCCCCTCCAATCGTGTCAATTAAAGATTCCCATATTATTTCCAAAATGTCCTCTGGAAGAGAGTAATGCCTCCACTGAGAACCACTGATTTACCAATCAGGACCCTACCCTGCAACCAGCATTTCATGTTCACTATCTCTAAGGAATAGAACAATCCTGTAAGTTGGGCCTGATTATACTCATTTGACAGATGGGAATGCTGAAGCTTGGGAAGGTCACACAACTAGTGAGTGGCAAAACCTAGATCTGAATTAAAATCTCTCTGGCTCCAAAGCCCATTCTTCTCCACTACATCGCATTGCCTCAGTTCATTGGTATTAGGGGCAGTCATAGACGCAAGGACTCTTGGGAAATCAAGGACAAGAATGATAGCCCAACTAGAAAATACTGAATCTCAGGTGGCCCCAGGAACCTCAGCAAATGGAGTTCTTTAATCTATACTCAAGAAGCTGTCGATAATGTGATCCGCTTTGGTCTTCTTCTCCCTGCCAACAGCGTAGAGTAGTGCATGGGTAACAACAGGCATCTGGAATCAGACCAATCACTAACAACCTGAGTTCAAATCCCACCTCTGCTATTTTCTACTGTAGGTCTCAAGGTGTCAATCTTTCTGTGCCTCAGTTTCCTCATCTCTTAAAAAAAGTTAATATGAGACTACCTATGTCATACAGTTGTTGTGAGAATTAAATTAATGAAAAGAAAGCAATCAACAAATGTAAGCTATTGAGTATTAAGTGTAAGTGTATGTCATATCTCATTCCTGACCTGATAACTTCAGCTTGCAATTTTTCTCTTTCTATCTTGTGGTCTCTCTTGTGTAACACTACACTGCTATTTATTTCATTTGTTCAATATTGATGAGTTCTAATTTCCATGAGAGCATACAAAAGTACCATGCAAATTAACAAATAATGACATAGAGCTATATTTGATAATTTGGAAAGATCTTGAAGATATTTTAATAGGCTGGTGAATAAAAAGGGGTAGAAGAGTATATAGTGTACATTTGTGTGTGTGTTTTTGAGAGAGATAGTGTATGTGTTTTTGAGAGAGATAGTGTATGTATATATATAAATTTTGGAGGATATATACATAATGAAGGATATTGTAGTAGCAGGATAATGTCCCCAAATATGTCCATGTCCTATTCCCCAGAATCTGTGAATACATTGTGTTGCATGGCAAAGAGAAATTAAGGTTGCAAATGGAACTAAGGCTACTAATCGACTGTGGCACACTCGGGAGAGTGCGGCGCTGGGAGCGCAGCAGTGCTCCCGCCGTGGGTTCGGATCCTATATAGGGATGACCGGTGCGCTCACAGCACTCACTGGCTGAGCGTGGTGCGGCCGGTCTCAAAAAGGACAAAAAAATAAAAAATAAAAATAAAAATAAAATAGGGAAATTATGCTGGATTATCTGGGTGTCCCCATTGTAATCACCAGGGTCCTTAAAAGTAGAAGAAAGATGCAGAAGGTCAGAATGATGTGATGTGAGAAGGATTCAACCTGCTGTTGTTGGCTTTGAAGATGGAGGAAGGAGGCCACAAACCAGGTGTATTAGTCAGGGTTCCCCAGAGAAACAGAATCAATAGAATATATATGTAGATATATGAGAGAGGATTTATTAGGGGAAATAGCTTATGCAATTATGGAGGATGAGAAGCCCCACGACAGGCCATCTGCAGGCTGGAGGCACTGGGATGCCAGTAGCATGGCTCAGTCCAAGGCAGAAGGCTTCAGAACAAGGGAAGCTGATAGTGTAACTCTTAGTCCAAAGCTGAAGGCCTGAGAACATGGGGGACCACTGGCATAAGTTCTGGAGTCCAAAATCCAGGGAGCCTGAAGTTCTGATATCCAAGGACAGGAAAGGAAAGGTGTATTCCAGCTCCAGGAAACAGATGGACACATTCAGCTTTCCTCTGTTTCTGTTCTCTTCAGCTCCTGGCCAAATCAGACACACTCCAAAATAATGTTTTACCAGGTTTCTAGATACTCCTTAATACAGTCAAGTTAACACTGAAAATCAACCATCACACCAAGGAATGCAGGCAGCCTCTACAAGCTGGAAAAAGCAAGGGAATAATTATTCCCAAGAACCTCCTGAAGGAGCACAGCTCCGCCAACATCCTGATTATAGCCTAGTGAGATCCACTGAGCGTGAGCTAAAAGTATAATGCCCACCACACTGAGAAGGGATCTTGAAACTGAAGAATGAAGCAGTCCACTCCTTGTGGTTTACAAGGAGTTTACTATTATATTTATAGGTAACTTACAGGGAACAGACTGGGCAGAATATCAATCCAGGTGCTGTGCAGCTGCTTTCTCCACAACCACAGATTTTCTCTCTTTGGCATAGCTCCACCTTTGTCTCTAAGTCCCTCATAAGTTTCAACTCCTCTGCCCCACCATGTGGGACTCCAGAACTTATACCAGTGGTCCCCCATGTTCTCAGGCCTTCAGCTTTGGACTGAGAGTTACACTACCAGCTTCCCTGATTCTGAAGCCTTCTGCCTTGGACTGAGCCATACTACTGGCATCCCAGGGTCTCCAGCCTGCCAATGGCCTGTTGTATGGCTTCTCATCCTCCACACCACACAGGGAATGTGGGGGAAGAGTTGAAACTTAAAAGAGACTTAGAGACAAGGTGGAGTTATGCCAAAGTGAGAAAATCTGTGGAAGTGGAAGATTCCCAGGGGCCACTCAGCCACTGGTTGCTTGAACTTGAGGTTGCTGGCATCACCCCCCTTATCTTACACAAGCATAGCTTTCTGTTCCTTTCCCTGCCTCAGTTGTTAAACAACCTGTGCAGGGAAAATATTGTAAATATTTAAGCCAGAACTCTGAAGGCCAGGAGTTCTGACCAGCATTCCTACAATATACTTACAACGTCTAGCCTCCAGAACTGTAAGATAATAAATGTGTGTTGTTTAAGCCACTCAGTTTGTAGTACTTTGTTGCAGCAGCAATAGAAAACTAATACAGATATACAGTACAAGAAATTGTTGATGGTGATTAGATCTCAGAAGTGGGCTCAATAGGTCTGGATTTGTGGGGGTGGGGATGAGGATCCAGAATGGAAGGGGAACTCATTTGTTCATTGTCTATCCTACTGCATTGATTACATTTTTTTACTACATATGTGAATTTTCATAATAAATTTTTTTTCCAAAATAAAGAATACGATTTATTATATCACCTTTTTGTGCTTCACCAGCCAACATTTCACCAACCAACTGAAGTACCCTTTGGCCTCCGTAGTTGCTGTGGGCAGGTATGCACCATAAGTGACAAATTTAGAATAGGCGTCTCCTAAACTCTTTAAAATACTCAGGTCTGTACGAGTGGAACCCAAAGGCATGCACAGTTTTTCGTCCTTCCTCTGCCAGCTCCCTGACATCCATGAGCAACTCATTCCAGAAGGCCACCAGGTCATGACTTCTCAGGGCCACTTCTTCTTGGGTGTTGGAGAGGAGAAAGAGAAGGGGCAGTATGTAGACTATCTAGGCCTCTTCTTCCCCACAGACTGTAGACAACATGATGTATAAAGGAAAATAGTGGGAATTGAAATCTTCATTACTGCTATTGATCACCTGCTGGGTTTTAGAATAAAAAGTTATGTATATATAATTAAAGATGACTTTCAGTCATTTCTACAAGATGTGCATGTGCTTTTATCTAGCTCTTCTCCACTTTGTGGATTCTTTTTTATATAAGGCCACTTCTCAGCTTCTGAGTAACTATTTGTTGAACGACTTAGTAATAGATGCCTGGGTATACTGACAAAAGTTTGTTTTTTCCAAAAATTTGTACATAATAGTCAATTTTCGCTACAGATGTAAAAGCGTGTTTAAAGTTCTTAAAACATTGGCATTCATTTTATGCTTAACATGATTTAAAACAGGTCTTTGTGTCTTATGCTTCCAAAGACATTTCTTGCCTATACTAAAGTAGTAATCAACCTACCAAATTTGGAGACATTTGCTTTTTTCCTTTTCTTTTTTAAACAGCGTTTCACATGCTATAAAATTTATTCATTTATAATGCACAAATCAATAGTTTTTAGTTCGTTCACAGAGTTGTGCAACTATCACCACAATCAATTTTAGAACATTTTTAGCACTCCAAAAGAAATGTATCCATTAGCAGTCACTCCTCATTTCCTCCCAAACCCTACAGCTCTAGGCAACCACTAATCTACCTTCTATCTCTATAAACTTGCATATTCTGGACTTTTCACATAAATGGAAT